TATCCTATCACTTATAGCATTGTACCTCATGACTGATCTGGATATGTTCTTTTTGACGATGAATGCAACACCATTCCTTTTCAATTTGTCATTCCCTGAATAGTAAACCATGTGGTTATCAGATTCAAAATGGTCAGTACCAGTCCATTTCAGCTCACTAATGCCTAAGATATCGATGTTTATGCGTTCCATTTCATTTTCGACAACTTCTAATTTTCCCAGAGTCATACTTTGTACATTCCATGTTCTAATTTTCAATGATGTTTACAGCTGTTTCTCTTCATTTTAACTTGTTGCCCATCAGCAAATGCAGGTTCTGTGAGCTTTTCTCCCCTGAGCTTAACTGTATTCATGTCATTATGGTCAACCCTACACTGAGTAGGCATTTTTTACCCCAGCCGCATTCTGAGTGCCTTCCCACCTTCCAGTCCTGTATCTGACAATGTTTCTCTGCTATTCATAGAGTTCTCAGTGACTAGAGATTCAGAAGTAGTTGGTCACTCTTTCTTTCTAGTCTGGTACTGGCCAAAACAAGTGTAGAAAACAACCAAATTTAAAAGACATACGAATGGAGATGAAAGGAAATATTGAGTTGAAAGGAAATATTCTTCAAGTAAATAAGAAATGATGCTGAGATTTGAAAATAATACAAACAGTTTTTGTCTTTAGTTGATACCATGCCATAGGCTTAATGTTAAGCCTTTAAGAATTCATACGGAGTTCATGTATTTATATAATAAATTCACTTTTTCAGCAAAAAAAACTAAATAGGTTTGTTTTATTACTTCATATTATTTCAAACTGTGCAAATGTTAAATGCAAATATAAGAACATGAAAATTGTATATTGAATCACTGAAATTTTATGAGGAAGCAGCTTTTTGAAGACCCCCTCCTACAATCTTTTTTTTTTTTTTTAAACTTTTTATGGTGAATTGGATGAGCATTTAAAGTTCCATTCAACAATTTATACACATTTTTTTTTCAGATCATTGGTTGCAATTCCCACAGTGTAATATCACTTACCCGACTAGCTCCTTGTGTTTCTCATTCCTCTTTCTATCCTAACCCTCCTTGCTCCCTGACTTTGCCCTTTCACAAATGCTGCCCTTTTGATCTCAAATGTTGATTATTCTAAGTACCTCCCTAGTTTTGTAGTCCATCTTATAGACTTGTTTATTGTTTGGCTATAAATTAAGTCACATGTATGAGTTCAGTTCCAGATCTGATGGATGACTAAGAGGCTACTAGTCTCCTGGGTTCCACCAGTATT